TGCAGATTTATAGATAAAATATAAAATACTCAATTCACATTATCCCCCCTTTTTCTCTTTTGAAAATCAAAGCCTAGCTTAAATGGAATGCCAAGCTGAAACATATCTCACGTTAGAGTTTTCAAATGTAGGCTATAGTCATGATTTTGTCAATTTATCTAGAACGACATAATTATTGCTTACATATTATATAATATTCTTTTGTTATTACTTTACACAATAAAATATTTTTTTATTACAACTTTTTCACAATTACTTTAATATATATTACGGGAGTGAATGAAAAACATAAACATTTGGATTTCCAGGCATTCAGTGCCAACTGATGAAACTCATTTAAGACGCGAAATTGGAATCCTATTCATTTTATTTCGTCCAATTTGATAAGGATCCAGATTCAGATGAAGTCGTAGGCCATATTGGAATGAAAACTAAGCCGCTTTGCCCAAACCATTCGAGGGTAGCTAAGCAAGGAAATAAGCAAATACAGCTTACGGTCGACAATGAGAATGGTGTTGGAAATTATATTAAAGTTTTAAATTTCAAAATTATTATATTTTAATTTTCAGTTTTGGTTTAATTAAAATCTTAATTTATAATATAACACACACTTAAATATTTGAATGGAGGTTATGAATTGATTAATTTTCGTTAGTGTGAGGGTTTAAATTGTACACTATAAAGAGGGGGACACAACATGGAAATCATAATTTTGAGATACAATTAGAAAACACAACTAGAGATGATTAAATTCAAAAATATTCTCTACAAATTTATACTACAATATTTTGACAACTAGATAAGAAGCTTGTTCACTTATCTCCCTATGGTCGTGCCTATAGAAGGAGAGTCGGTTCTGGGCCACATAAGTTTTATCTTGAAGCTGTGTAGTGTCGAAAGAACCCGAACGAAAGGGATACCACACAATTTTAGGATAGCGTCTTCGACATGACTACAAATGCTAGCTTTCTAAACCTCTTCTTATTTTATATTATTATTGAATTATGTTTATGTCATTTAATTGATTATGCTAATTGTTATATTTATCTACACACAAATCACTAATTTTCCCAACAATCTAAAATCGTGTCGTGTGATTTGTGTGTATGATGATATTGCTTAGTTTACTGGCAAATTTAGATGTATAATATGAATTGGAATGGTTTACCTTCAAGAATTTGATGGTGGAGATGCAAAAGGGTATTGTCATCAAACAAGTACTTGAGGTAAATTGGAAAACACGGTGAAAAGAAGTAAAATATGATCTATAGTTGGAAATACCTGTAGTTGCTACTGTGATTTAATCATTAAATTAGTGGTACTATTGATTAGAAGGCTTTTTCCTTTAGAGTATCTTTTCATTCTATATTTCAAGTCAAACCAGTGTACACCATCTGCCTTGATATAAGTATTAGTTACAAGAATTATGCTATACTCAGCATTTAGGGTGGACTCCTTTCCTCTAGGACATGCAATTAGCTATTTTCAGTTAATGGAAGCACAATCCTTTCATATGTCTAGTTTTGTATTGCGTGAATATGCATCATTTTAAGCCTCCTTAATAAAAAGGTTTTCTTTGATGTTGGTTAATATTAAAAATTTTGGCTACAACATGCAAGACCATTATGTAAATTTAGCTAGCCTTTGCTACAGAAACTCTTTACTTTATCTAATAATTTACTGACCATTTTGCTCGAGCATGCGTACACTTCAATCAGATCCAATATGAGGTTTGGCCCTAATCTTCACAAATATCTTATCTTGCACTAAGGAGTCTGATTTCTAAATAATCTTCAAGAATCGAATTAATTTACCATGTTTTGATGCTAAATTAATTTTTGTGCATTCTAGGAAAAATCTAATTTTAGATAAGGTTGGAAAATAAATAATTTATGTTTTAAAATTTCAAATTAATACCTTTCAACTTCGTTTCTATTTTAATTTCAATTTAATACAAAATTAAATTAATAATATTATAGTGTAACATCATTTTAAATTATTTAATTCTCATAAGTGTAGGGGTTATATTTATCCCCATATAAGGAGTGATAATACAACATGATAAACATAACTTGAGATATAGCTAAGTAAATATACTTAGAATGTTGTGTGAACAAACTTGTTCAAGGAAAGGCAGAAAAATATTACTCGGTAGAAAAATTATTCTTCATGATTTTCATGGGAAGTAATTGAATTTATTTTAAATTAATAATTAAAATATTTAACCTTTCAATAATGTTTTAATCAATATTTTAAAAGAGGTTTAAATGCATGATTAATCAACATAAGTGCATTTTAGCCCATGTAAATTCTACAAGTAATTGTGACATTATTGTTATTCTATTTTATAGGTAACTTATATATATTGGCATGATTATATATCATTGTATTAGAAAGAAATTGGAAAAGTGTGGAATATTTACACACACACATATATGCGCGTGCGCTATACTCTTGTGATGCCAATTTCTATTTACTTAATGACCACTAAAGGGAAATATATTTTCCAAGCTGGGATGCTAGAAGTTGAAGGTAAAATTATGCGATTTTATTTGATAGGATTCACATATAACTACCATCATACTATTAATTTCAATGTGATAAAAAAAAAAGTTTTACAAACTGAATATATTTGGAATGTGGTGGTATGTAAAATTTCAAATAAGATACACTTTATATTTATTTTTCTTTGTGTAAAACTGTCTTTTGAAAAGTGTTAAAATGAAATTGGAGACATGCAGGTGAAATACAAGAATTGAATGGATGCACATGTTTAAACATGTGACTAGAAGTCAATTTTAAATTTCATTTGTTTATCTTATATATTATACTTAACGTGATTTTGATATTTTGAAATGTTTTAGAAGATTTTGCAGATGTGCAGAAATGGAGGAAATTAAGATTTGCAAATTAATGATATCAAATTATTGTCCAAGAAGGACATGAAATAAATTTAGTCCATAATGGACATAATAAATTATCGAGGGGGATGGGCTTAAGCCTGTAAGGGAGTCATCTCTGGGAGTAACCCAACCTTTGTGATTGGAGATTCCATGAAGAAAGTTCAATATTGTAGAAACAACCCGTAATGCATGACTCGTAATAAAATTATATCATTTGTGCTCATCCTTATAGTGATAGTGCTAATAATAATGTGATGTGAGAAAGAGTTTAACCCTGAATGAGTACCGAAACGAGAATTCTCTCGAGGTGTAGGTCATACACACTTTTGGAGGACTCACCTATGTAAGAGTTACTATGAGGTCGTGGCTATGAGATTGGGCTATTCCCTAAAGACTTTTACTAGAATCAAGATTAGAGCGCATGATCATTAATATCGCTACTGTAATGAATTAGAGCTTAAATCGATACTGTGTGTAGAACAATTGAATTTTGGCTAAAATGATCTAATTCAAGGCTTAATTCATTATGACTCTCTCAAATGGAAATTGTTATCACTGAGTGAGGTTCAAGTCAAAAAAACATCTACACCTACACCTACTGTGCAGTATAACGTTGCCACTATATAATATATATTTCTTTATTTTGAAAGATTAAAACTTGTGGAGGATTGTTGGAAATTGCATTAAAGTTTTAACTTTCAAAATTATTATATTTTAATTTTCAGTTTTTGTTTAATTAAAATCTTAATTTATAATATAACATACACTTAAATATTTGAATGAAGTGCGAGGGTTTAAATTGTACACTATAAAGAGGGGGACACAACATGAAAATCATAATTTTGAGATACAATTAGAAAACACAACCTGAGATGATTAAATCCAAAAATATTCTCTACAAATTTATACTATACTATTTTGACAACTGGATAAGAAGCTTGTTCATTTATTTCCCTATGGTCGTGCCCATAGAAGGAGAATCGGCTCTGAGCTACATGAGTCTTATCTTGGAGCCGTGTAGTGCCGAAAGAACTCGCACGACGGGGAGACCACATGACTTTGGGACAATGTCTTCAACGTGAATGCGAATGCTTGCTTTCTAAGCCTCTTCTTATTTTATAGTATTGTTGAATTATGTTTATATTATTTAATTGATTATGCTAATTAATATATTTATCTACACACAAATCACTAGTTTTCCCAACAAATGGGTTATTCAAAATGGAAAAGGCGCTACTTAATTTCGCAAGGCCGAGCCACCTATCTACCCCATCCCTTTCAATTCGTTTATCTGTTCTCTTTCGGGCATAACACAAAAAAAGTTCTTGAAAATTATTTAAATAAATTTTGTTCTCAACGTGCTTTGCATCTCGCATGCTGTGCATCTTTCCCTTGTATATAATCTTACATGGCATACCGCTTCAAAACGTGTCTGTATATATAAAATCTTACTTATTATTGTAAAAAGGAGTAAGTTAATTTAACAATTAGGTAGGTATTACTTTCAGAACGAGTAAATTATCTTATTTTCGAGTTCTGGCATGGCCAATATAGAAAATTATTTATTTTAAACCTTATTTATTTACTTATATGTCAAGCTCAGCCGAATAGTTATCTCACAGTATATGTATATCATCACCCCTTGATGTTAGTAAATATATTCTTGCTACTGACATTTAATCTAATCACATGTTACTAAGCCCTTGTTTTGCCCCCCATTATAATGAGAATTTGGAAAAAAAATAATTTTTTTGATGTGTAATTAAAAAGTGAGAAAAAGTTTTGAGATTATATGTAATATTATTTTATTCAAAAATGTATGATTTATAAGAAAGGGGAGAAAAATGAATTATAATTTTAATAAGGCCAAATCGGGAAATTAATGAAAATAATAATAGTAATAATAATAATAATACTACTAAACGAACATGGCCACGTATCACATGGACCAGTTGGGCCCCGTCATTACCCGGGCTTATGTGGCCATGATAATGTAGCAGGTTTCGAAAAATAATTTGAAAGGTTAATACGTTACTCTCTCGATTAATTAAATGAAAATCTTGACACATGTTGAATAACATCATCTATCGCGAGTCATTAAGGATAAACCGAATTCATTTCATTAAAAAAGTTTTTACCCGTACCATTCATCGTATCTATGTAAAGGAGGAAAAGAGATAAAACAACCACACGAATTTTATATACTTCATCGTAAATAACTTTCTTTAATCATGAGCGGTGGCACTTCTAACTAAGGAACCGAAGCTTTAAGGGCACTTTTTCCGGCCGCCGTGGGTAGTCATTTTGGCATAGCAGGGACACACATCCTGGTTGCCGGCGGTACCTGGTGGAACACAGTTGCATCTCTTGCAGCAGGTTCCACATGCTCGATGGCAGAGGTTCGGCCTCGACGATAGCTGGCACCTCCTCCCACATTCCTTCCCACAATCTGCTCACACACACGAAACAATTAGGGAAATTCTTTCAAACTTTTCGGGAGAAAAATAGAAATTAAAAATGTTAACCTATTTTCTGAAGAGGAGAGTGTCCAATCCCATTGACAGCGACCTAAAACGCATGGAAGACAACAGATTTCATTAAAAGCTTAAAAATATCAAGAAGGGGTTGAAATAAAAATGCATTTTGTTTTTGCTTTTGCTTTTTCTTGTCCCTTTTGAAGATGAAAAATAAAAC